GAGGGACTGAGCCTGCAGCACATCTGCTGTTGTCCAATAAATACCCATCTGTGTATTCCTGCCTCCTGTTATTTGCAAGGTAAATCATCCTTGTTCCGGGGACAGTGCCCTGTGTGCACACACCTGGATGAATTGTTACCCTGCAACACATTTGAGCCTCTCCACTTGAAATCACTCCCCCAGCTGGCAGCTTAACCACTCTGTCATGCTGTAAACTAAGCATTTCCCCAGCTGGGGGTTCTTGGATCAGTTCTGGGGAGTTTTTCTGGTTGGAAAAGCTCCCAACCCACCCATCCTTCCGCCGCTCCGTAGCCTGGGTTGTTTCAGACCTTTCCCTGGCGGCTGCAGAGCTGATGCAAACCAGCAAAACTTCCCCTGTGGATTATCAGGAACATGCTTAATGCATCTGATATCTCAGCCTGGAGAACAGAAGCAACAGAAAGAAAGATTGGCAGCTATTGCAGGAATTCAGAGAGGGGCACCTTGGAAAAGAGGGGAGGGGAGGTGTTTGCTTCCATTACAGAACCCGAGGCTGAGGTGGATTCCCTCTCCATCATTGTCCTAAGCACATTATCCCTGAAAGAAAGAGGGTTTCTCTGAATCTGCAATTTTTCTGGGCTTCAGTGTTATTGAAATGAAACTGCTTCAAGGATATCTGCATTCTTTACCATCATCTGGATTCTCATCTCATGTAAATTATTTGGCCACTTTTCATTTTAATCCTCCACTGTCATTTTCTACAAAAGAGATCATTTGGTTTCTTCATGGAAGGTATTCAGCTGACAGCTGCCCTTTGTCTAGAAAGCAGTGTGCCTTTGCAGAGTTACTTGTGCCTGCTCTTTTTTCCCCTTCCTTTTAAGTTCATATCTCTTCAAATTTTTCATCTGTAGCTTTCAGGAACTTTTCAGACTGTGAACAGGCTGAGGTTTGTAGCTGTGAAGAGAAATTCAGACATCCTGCATTCTTCCCCTGTCTACCTGGCTGATAAGAAAGAGGACTGGAGGCAGATTAATTAATTTACTGCTTGCAAGAAGAACTGTAGTCAAAAAAATCACAATGTTTTCACAAACCTCTACATGAGCAAACAGAATAGTCAGTGATGAAGTCTTGAATTTTTTTCCCATGACTTTTCTATCTTGAAAACTCAGTTATTCTCTCCTACTTTCCAGAAACTGTAGGATCATAGAACCATAGAATTGTTAAGGCTGGAAAAGACCTTAACAGGTCTTTTAAAAAACAGGAATTTAGGATGAAAAAAATTTTCAGATTTTCAAGTGGGAATCATTTTTCTTGTAAAAACGTTTAGTTAAGAAATTTGTGTTAGAATTTGAAGAAGATGTTTCAGAATACCAAAAAATACGTCTTGATCTTAATCAAATAAGTTTTGCTTCGTTGTAAAATGTTTAGAGGTAAGAATTACTGTTTTCAGTGGTTTCTAAATCAAAAAAAATGATTGGACTGCACAAAACTTCCTTGTTTGTCAGCAGAGGTGCCTCGTTCATTGCCCAGTTCTGGAATTTAGTTCCATCATGGGGAGATTTCCTGTTGTCCCAGAGAATCTGTAAGTGTGAGCCTAAGTTTTGTTGTGGTTGGAAAACATGAGCTGCTTTGCTGGAGCCAGGCAAAGCCTGGCTGTGGCTTGCAAAAGGGATGGTGTTGAGTTATGTGCCAAGAGAAGGGTCACTCTTGGCTCTTGTGTTGTCTTTGCTGTGTTAATTGATGTCTCACGTTCTTGCATCAACATAAGAAAGGGCAGTTCAAGTACAAACTGATTCTTAATTTTATGTATTTTGTAATTTTTTCCCCATAAATATTAGGCATTGTCCAGCAGCTTTGTGACCACAGATGATCTCGAGCCATAATATCAGATGATATCAGGGCTTCACCTTCTGTTTTTAGGGCATCTTTGTGTAGATCAATCCTGTTTTCTAATTCTGTGGGGTTTCCTTTGTGGTGTTTGCTCTTGGCAGGTACCTCTAAGTAAAATAAATAACATTCACAGAATGATTGGGGTTGGAAAGGACCCCTGGAATCATCTGGTCCAGTTTCCCTGCTAAAGCAGGTTCAGTAGAACAGGTTGCACAGGACCATGTCCAGGTGGGGTTTGAACATCTCCAGAGAAGGAGACTCCACAGCTTCTCCTTTCAGCAAAGGGAGTCCATAAAACTGCTGTTATGGCTCCCAAAATGGGCTGAGTTGATTTTTGTACACATGGTGTTGACCTGGATTCCTGATTAGGAGTCGAGGTCATTCAATATATTCATGTAAATAATAGCACAGCAGTTTTCAGCTGTGATGTCTTAATGTTCCTTTATCCCACAGCACTTCCAAGAGGAAATAATTCTTGGCTCTGGACAGAGTGTGGAGTGCTCTGTAGGTGTGAGAGCTGAGATTCTGTCATGAGACAGTTGAACTGGGATCCTGAGCTTCTGTTCCATCACTAACTACTGCAAAAAGCATTTTCTGCTCTGTTTTCCAAGTTCTTCATTCTCCAAAAAATGCACCTTTGTGCAGAACACGACCCCTTTGAACAGAAATTTGCACTTTCAGATAGACCCACACATCACTTCAAAGGCTGAAATCAGGGAAGGATGATGGATATGGAAGAGGGGAGAATGTAGTTTAAAAAATGACCATGTCCAGAGGGTGTGATGTTTGTTACAAGTTCTCATCTGGTTGAACAAAGAGACCAGTCCATGTGTCAGGGAACTCATCCTTTTGTTAGATAGTCACCTTAATTCCAGCCACTATCCCACTCTGTAATAGTAGAAGCATTGGCTGGCAAGTTCTCAAACTTTACAAATAACTTCAACAAAATTTTAACAAGTTCCCAACTCCCACCACAAACTCCAGGTCTCAGAAGTGCTGGCTGACAAGCTCTCAACTCTTACAGCTTCATCAAGCTCCCAATCCTTAGAGCAAACCTGGTATTGGACACTTCCAAGGATGGGGCAACCACAGCTTCTCTGGGCAACCTGTGCCAGGGCCTCCCCACCCTCCCAGCCAACAATTCCTTCCCAACCTCCCATCTCTCCCTGCCCTCTGGCAGTGGAAAGCCATTCCCTGTGTGCTGTTCCTCCATCCCTTTTCCCAAGTCCCTCTCCAGCTCTTCTGAAGCCCCTTTTTAGGCACTGAAAGGTGCTGGAAGGTCTCCCTGGATCCTTCTCTTCTCCAGTTGAACACCCCCAGATCTCCCAACTTGGATCCAAATCCTAAGACTGGATCCAGCCTCATCCAACTCCTCTCTTGAGAAGGAGTTTAGGAAACAAGGGGGTTCACTCTGAATCACATCCCCAACTTCCATAAAAATCCCTCTAAATGGATTCCAATTGTCCTTTATCACAGAATCCCAGAATGGTTTGGGTTGGAGGGGACCTTAAAGCTTATCCAGTTCCAACTCTGACACCTTCTACTATCCCAGGTTGCTCCAAGCCCATCCAACCTGGCCTTGGACACTTCCAGGGATCCAGGGGCAGCCACAACTTCTCTGGGCAACCTTTGCCTCCAAATTCCTTTCCCAAGAGCAGCTCAGAGGTGCAGGGAAGGAGCAGTGGGTGTTCCTGTGGAAATGTGTTGCCTCCAAGGCCCATGTAAGTCATATGGACATGACCTGCCCTTCATTTAGAGAAGGTGGAGCTATTCCTATGATTCCATTTGCTCCAGCAAATCCCCTGGAATTACATTAATGCAGCAACTCACTGGGCTAATGTGGGATTTCTCATTCTCACTGAGGAGCAACTTTGGAATAGGCCCCTGTTTGTGGGGATAGCTGGGAGTGTAAATAACCCTGGGAGCAGTGGGATGAAGAAGCAGTGCCTGAAATCCAAACTGAGTGTTCAGAAAGTGGGACAGAAGCAGTTGCTGTGTGGAACAGAATCCAGATTTCCATAGGAAGTGGCTGGGCTGGGGCCAATCCACTGGAGGAGAAATATGAGCATGGAAAATAATAATTGCCTCAATATGCCTGAATCTCCTGCTACCAAATGATCCACAATTAAAGGAAATATCTGATTTTCCTAATCTGGAGCAGCTGTCCAACAGCTGAACCTGCTGCTGATCAAAGCTGATGAAAGAATTCCTAGGATTATGTGTTATGGATAACCTACAGGAAAAAACCAGTGGTAGTCCCTGCTTATGGTGTGATTATCAGAGTCCACTGAAGTAAACAGGATGTTTTGTTGTTTTTAGTGCAGATCTGATAAGCTCTGTAGAATGTAAATCAGTTCATTAAAATTTGTAAAGCAGTTAAATGAAGTGAAAGAGGAAACAGTTTTAACTTCTGTGGGATGTTTACTGCACATGAAGTACAATAAAATCACAATTATTCTGGAAAAAAACCACTATTGGAAATGTGCTGTATGTACTCAGTGTGGTGTTCTGAGGAAGATTTAAAAATTTTAAATCGTGGTTTTTAAAAAACATAACCTGACTCTGGAATGGAAACCTTCCTGTGTCTATTTTGTGCCATCTGCACACCGTAGCTGTCTGAAGTATTGCAGTATTTGTGTGTTTGTGGGTCATACATATTGATAAGTATGTATGGGTGTGTGTATATTAACCCAGGGATGGAAATAAATGGTGAACATTTATTTTCACCATATTCGTGAATCCTTCTACCTAAGCTGGGGTATGGCAGGGGAAAAAAAAATTATAATAAACAAAAGCCATGCTTTGTGGTGTCTAAGATGTGATGCTTCACTGGATAGTCTTAAATCTGATACCCATGGAATTGTCTAAGTTGTTTTATCTCCATATGCTGAGGTGACACTGCCCATGCTGAGATAATCTTAATTTATTTGAGGCATTTGGGAAGTTTCCTCCACTCCACGTGGATGCAAGTGCAAGCTGATGTTACCTTATGCATAAAATTTACTGTATCTGTGGTGCCTCTCTAAGACTGGTGTATAAATTAGCAGTTGACACCTTTTAGTGGAGCTGCTTTGGAACCTTCACGCTCTGATTTCTGAAAAAAACTTGTTTTTTTTTCCCCCTCCTTGCAGTTACTTCAATGAGAATCAGTATCCAGATGAGGCAAAGAGAGAAGAAATTGCCAATGCCTGTAATGCAGTTATCCAGAAACCAGGTGAGGAGCTGCTCCTAGTGTCCTTCCCAAAAAGCAATTTGATTTCAGCACCTTGGGTTCAGACTGTTTGCAGGAGATCATACATAAAATCAAAGAATTATTGAGTTGGAAAAGAGTTCCCAAGATCATTGAGCCCAACCTCATAGAGCAGGTCCTTGGAGGGAGCTCATCTTTCCTGGATTTCAGTTTTCTTCACAGCTTCCAGACAGGGATCTCGGATTAGAACGTGGATATTAATTGAGGACATTGTATTTGGGCCAACAAGCTGCATTTTCCCTGTTCCTGGAGAAGTCAGACTGGGAGAGGAGCATGAATATTCAGTGTGGTGTTAGTGGATGCACCTGCCTTTGCTTAGGTTTGCTAACCAAACATTTACATAGATGTCAGACCTTGTGTTTTGGATATATTTAGATTTTATATAACCAGAATAAAAATTAACGAACGGAAAGCTAAAGCTTGAGTCATGAACATAAAGCCACAGAAATATTTAGGATGGAAAAGCTCTCTGAGATCATCCAGTCCAACCATCCCCCCACACTGCCAAGGCCACCCCTGCCCTGTGTCCCCAAGTGCCACATCCACATGGTTTTTAAATCCCTCCAGGGATGGGGACTCCACCCCTGCCCTGGGCAGCTGTGCCAGGGCTGGACAACCCTTCTAGTAAAGAAATAGTTCCCAATATCCAACCTAAACCTCTCATGGTGGAACTTGAGGACGTTCCCTCCCATCCCATCACATGTTACCTGGGAGGAGAGAGTGATCCCCACCTCGTTATCCTTTCAGGTCGTTGTAGAGAGATGGGACAGTCCCAGGATAGCACAGAATCAGACCAGTTTAGGCTGGAAGTAACCTCTGGAGGTCATCTGGTCAGGCAGGACCAGCTTATAAGGTTGTTCAGGGCTTTACCTAGTTCAGTATCTCCAAAACTGGAGGTTTTCCTGACTCTGGCCCCTATTCCACAAGGTTGAGCACTCTCATGGCAAAGTACTTTTTCCTAATACCTATTGAAAAATTCCCTTCTTGCAGCTTTTATGTCTTTTAGCTGTGGGAGCAGAAAGATCTATTGGGTAGAGCACCAAAGAGGTTAGGATTTGGTTTGTGGAGCAGCTTGGAACAAGCTGCTGAAACACAGTCCTGTCTCAGGAGCAGTGAAATACTGTCAGTGGTGCTGATGCACCAGCATAGCTATCAGTTTCCAGATTTTTCTTTCTTTCAGTTGTCTCATCTCTCCTAACTTACTTAAGTGTGCAGATTGCTGCAATTACACAGGTGCTTTGTATGCTGAATAAATAAACTTTGAGAAAGACTCAGAAGCAGGGGAGTCTCATCCCTAAGGAGCCTGCAGAGCACTGATGCAGCTACATGGAGTATTTTATACAGGGACAAGGCCAACTGAAGAGGCCAACTGTGATGCTGAACCCCTCTAGTCTCCCCTCTTTTATACTGATGACCAGAAAAAGGAATAGTTTTCCTTAGGTCCCTTGTGGTTGTCGGGAATTGTTTTGCTGGTTTAAGGGTAAAAATCCAGTGATCTGGTTTCCAGCATCCACCCCCCATTCTCCCAAAAGATCATGAGTGTCCTGGCACATCTGGGAGGGTGTGATGAGTGCTGGGGGTTGAGAGAAAGGAAAGCAGATTGCAGGGGGATGCCAAAAAAAATCTCTTAGTTCAGGAGCCCAGGGGAAGGGGGTTTGTGGCAGGGCTGTGAATTGGAGTTTTGGAATCTCAGTTTTGTGCTCAAACTAGAAAAGCAGCCCTCCCTTCTCCCACACCACTGGACTTAGTTGGTTGAAGCTTCAAAGAAATTCCTGTATTTCAGATTTTAAAAAGAAAAAAAAAGAAAGGCTCTTTTGTTTTTAGGGAGATATTTGGCATTTAGTGCCATAACACCTGGACACACAGGACTTTGATTCACATAAAATTCACTTTATTCTCAGTTACAATAACTTTTCAGTGCTGTCTGTGTTTCAGGGGTTTATCTCTTGGAATCACAGAATGGTTTGAGTTGGAAGGGACATTAAAGCCCATCTCATTCCAACGCCCTGCCATGGGCAGGGACACTTTCCACTGTCCCAGGTTGCTCCAGGCCCCCTCCAACCTGGCCTCGGGCACTTCCAGGGATGGGGGGCAAATGTCTGAGGGGCTTTATTTTTATTTCTGTTCCTTTCCTAGGAAAAAAGTTGTCGGATTTGGAGCGAGTCACCTCCCTCAAAGTGTACAATTGGTTTGCCAACAGGAGGAAGGAGATCAAGAGAAGAGCCAATATCGGTAATGTATCACAGGGCCTCTTTGCAGGGGCTGCACTTGCCCAGGAGAGGTGGCAATTGCATCAGAATATATTAGTGGGAACACTGGAGGTTCTGACAGTCTCTGTAGAAGTGTGGAGGAATTATGAAAATCAGCCCCTTGCTGTTCCAGATTTTTTGTGGAATACGTGCAGGAGTTTAGTTTGTGGAAGCCCGTCATCAGTGCAGGAAAAGTGGTGCTTTTACAAAGTTTTACTGGAAGATCAGCTTTAAAAAGCAAAGTGAGAAGTCTGCTGTTGGAGTTATGTTTCCCTATGCTCAGGCTCCTTTGGGTGTCCAGAAAATCTAAAATAAAACCTCAAAATTGTCAATAAGGGAGATTGAAACGTTGGTGGGTTCACAGCCTTGCCATGCTGTTTATTCTGGTTATACCTCTGCTCCTTCCAGCTTTCCAAGGTTTTCCACAGTGACAAGTGGCTGGAACAAAGTAATTTTTTTTTCTTGATGATCAGGATAAAACAAAAGTCACTTCAGAGTGAACTCTGCAGGTTTTTAGTGTGAGGAGTTGATCGTAAGGAAATTAGAAGTGACTCTGAAATTGTAAGAAGGATACCTTCTAGTGTGGAAAAGACATTCCAAGGAGAATAAACTCACCTCAGTGGCCAGGATTAAGCAAACTCCTGGCATTTATGCCAAATTTTATGCCCTTACTTTATGCAGAGTTACTTTTGCAGCACATGGATGAACAGAGATCCCTACCTGCCTATTACCAGGATTTTTATTTATTTTAAATGCTCTTTATTTTTGCTTTTTGTCTGAGTAAGAAAAAATTCTTTTTACATGATTTAATGCATTACTGAAATTTACCCTGAATTTATTTTTTTAAATGAGAAATTGCTTCTAGAAGAGACTGGGGGGGAACAAAGCAAACTTAGTCCAAGGTGGGTGGAGTGGGAGTTGTATCTGTACTGTTTGGGCAGAAGGACTGGAAAGAGATTTAAAAGAACCAGAGGAAGCTTTAGATGCATGGATCCTACTAGAAGATGGATATGTTTGTTTTTAAATCCCTTAAGTGCCTTCAAAAATTTCTCCATCTATTTGCAGACACTCCCTGCCCCCCTCAAGTCCTGCCAGTCCAAAGTATGTGGGAAGAGCTACAGGGAATTCTTTTGCCACTCCAGTACATTAGAAATCAAGCTAATTTCTAGTAGGACTGGCTGGAAAACAGGGATTCTCACTCAAACAAATCTGTTAATTGGCAGGGAAGGATTTCAGGCTAACCAGTGTTTGTACATGTGCTCCCAAATACTGGAGAGTGAAGAGGAAGAGGCTGAGAACTAACTCTGTTCCTCCAGTTATTCCAACTCCTTGGAAAAAAAAAACCAAACCACCTAGTTACTTTAAATTACCCCAATGCATCAGATAAATTAGGGATCCATTTGCTTTTTTCGAAGAAGCAGCAATCCTGGAGAGCCATGGAATAGATGTACAGAGTCCGGGAGGCCATTCCAACAGCGACGACGTGGATGGCAACGACTACTCAGAGCAGGTGAGAACCAGGGCTGAGCCACGGGGCCCAAAAAGGGAGATTCACTCACACCTCAGGAGGCCCTTGACCTCTTGAGAGTAATCTCTTGTTTTTGATTTGGTTTTATGTCATTTTAATGGGGAGAGGGTGAGCGTTCAGCATTCACCCCCGTGGATTTGTTGCCTCCCCACAGGACGCTTGGCAAGTACGCAACGGGGAGGAGGAGGGAAGATGTTCAGAGGGAGGCAGAGAAGCAGAGAAGGTAGAAGAAGACAGGAGGATCTGCTCCAAACAAGCAAGTTACACCCCTCACACCACAGGCAGTGTATGATACACGTGGGGAGAGTGTCAGCTCACCCAGTGCCCACCACACCTTGTGCCCTCCTTGGCTCTGTTATAGTTACCCTCCCTCAGGAGAGTATGTTACAGGTCTTTAAACAGTTGCTTCTGTAGATCAGGCACCAACAAGCTTCCCTGAAAACTGGGGATCTCTTGCACCTATTCTTTATTTCTGCAAGAAATGCCCTGTTCTGACCTGGGCTAAGGCTGCTGTGAGCGGCTGATCTGACCCCAGACACTGTGCCCAGGACACTTTACATTCCCTGTGTCAGCCTTCCCCAGCAAGAAAATGAGCACTGAGCACCCTCCTGGAAGGTCCTGAGCTCCCTCTGCTTGTTTTGTGGGGGAACCTTTCAGGAGCATCTCAGGATCCGTCCCTAAGACACTGACAGACAAAGGGTGAAGGGTGGGGGGGAAAGGATTTGATTAAGTTTGACCTTTATTTGGCCTATTCCCTATTGTTCTGCAGCAGTGTACCACTATTTGGATTGTTTACATATTACCTGTCTTCTTTTTTTTGTTCGTTTTTGCATTTTAATTCTTGCCTATTCTCTCCTTTCTTGGTTATTTTTAACCCTTGACAGCAACTTCTTTTTTAAATTCTCTAGCAAAAGAATACCCCTTCCCGCACTCTGAGCCCTCACCTACCCTAAAGTTGGTGACCCTTCCTTCACACACCTTCCTGACAGGTATTGCACCCCCTTCCCAATTTTCCTCCAGTGTTGGCCAAACCCCCCCAGGGCTGTGTGGGTGCTTGGCACCAGTGGATTCCACCAGTTCTCTCTTAGTTTTGAAATGAAATGATTCTGTGCTGCCCCAGCATCTGGGGTGGGCACATCACTTCCCATTGACTCTTTTGGGGGAGAATTAAGTAGCTCTCCCTCTCCAAAAGCTGCTGGTGGAGTGTAATTGCTGCTGAGTGTCCTGGAATGAGTCCCTCACACACTTGGCTGTGGCCCAGTACAAGGAATATCTGGCACAGGCATCCCCAGCTGCTCTGCTGCTGATGGGTATTAAGGCCCTTTTTATAGGTCATCACCAGCAGATTTGGTGGAACCAACTTTTCTGGCTCTGGATGAGGAGAAGCTGCTCTGTGACTGTCATGAAATATTTAGAAAGTGCTCTGAGCACAGATAATTCCCTGTCAGTCAGAAACAGGACTGGAATGCTGAGGTGAAACGTGGTGTAAACTCCCCAGCTGTGTTTTTCTTCTGTGCATTAACCAAAATACTTCGAAAAGAGTGATAAATTGGTTATTAAAATTTAAAGATCTTTGTTTAGAGGCCTTAAAAATGACATTTTTCAGTAATCTGGCTGGGCTCCTCTGTGAGCTGTAATTGGGCATTAGCAGCAAAGAGGATTAAATGGAAGTTCTCCCGATGACCATTTAACATCCCTGAGCTGTTAAAACCAAAAATTCTGTTTTCCACAACAACACTGAAACTCTAATAAAATTTAAAACACAAAATTCATTCAAATCCTAACAAAGTGCCTTAAACTCCAGAATTAAGGGCTCTGTATTTCTGCAGATTACTGAGAGGCCCTTAGAGTGTGTGCACATCACAGTGTTTACCAGACACTTGTTGTAAATTAATGCATTCTTTTAAATAACCTCAGGATTTTACCAAATCCTGGGGTTTTTTTGTCCTCCTCAACATTTGCCATCTGTCATCTTCATTTAAAGATGCTTTATGCATTTTATTTTAAATCTCACGAGTTCACCACTTAAAGGCTGTTGGGAGACTGAGAAACGTTTATAATTTCCTTTCTGTAATTAATAGTAATTTTAAAACTGTGTGATAACTATTAGTATTCTGTTTTAAAAAGGGGAAAACATGATTTTGCCCTAAGTGCCATATTTGAATTATGGTGGTTCCAGTCCCCCACAGTCATTCCCTTTGTTTTCTTGGCAGCCCAGGAGTTTTTCAGCATCTTTTTCCTTATACCTGTGAGAATTCAGTGTCTTCACAGGATACTGGCTTAGGCTGGGTTTGTATCCTGGCTCTGAGCAAGATCAGTAGTAACATTTAAAGAAAAAGTACTTTTAAAGTACATATAGAATTATTTTGTTATAGTAGCTTCGAGCTTGTGGAAGTCAGTACTTTTGAGAGGCTTCCTGAACCAGGCCATGCATCCACTTTCATTTTTCCTACTTTTTAGTAGATTAATTTTCCCTGGATCTTTTTTAACCCCTGCCTTTTAAAGCCAGTTTTACTTGTGTCTGACCTGAAAATGAGTGAATCCCAAGCTGAACTAAGTGAAGCAGTGCTTTGGAACACATTCCAGAGGGTACCTTTGCTCATGAAATCATAACGAAGCCATGAACAATTGTTCTCTGTTTCCCAGTTATTTGTAATAAACATTTACCATATCAACCATCAGCCATTTCTTTCCCAAACTGGAGGACCTGAGTCTGTTCAACCTCTCCTTGTAAGGAAGCCACCTCCTGCCTCTTCCCTGGGATGTTCTTCTCTCTGCCTTTCTGGTTCTTTTGTGTTCTCTAAAGAGAATCCGAGAATCCCAGAATGGTTTGGGTTGGAAGGAACCTTAAAGCTTCTCTTGTTCCAACCCCTGCCATGGGCAGGGATGCCCTTGGGGTGACCAGAACTGTCTGTTCCATGAATTTGTGCAGTGCCTAATGATTCCTGTCTTAATTTGGTTTCCTGACTTACTTCATGTATCACTTTTATCTTTATCATCTATTATTTTCTTTGAAAGGTGGGTCCCCCACTCCTTTGTCTGCACAGTGAGGGAAATCAATCCTAAACCCGCTTTGTAAATTCACTTTCTGCCCCCATAACCAACAGTCCCCTGCCCCGTAGCTCATTACTGGACACACTCATTTTACCCACCGATTTCCTACCTGTGGAATAACCCTGCTTCTCTCTCCTCCTTCCCACATTCCCAGGATGACAGCACTAGCCATAGTGACCACCAAGACCCCATTTCCTTAGCTGTGGAGATGGCAGCAGTCAACCACACCATCCTGGCACTGGCCCGGCAAGGAGCCAACGAGATCAAGACAGAGGCTCTCGACGACGACTGATACAAAGAGAGGGGAGGGTCAAAGCAAGAAGTAACTTAGTTTTAGACGTAGCACCTTAGCAGACTTTCCTCGGTCCTTAATATGTGTTCTTACAGTATAACTTTGCAGTTTCTTGTACGTCAGTTTAGCTGTTAGGGTCTTGTTCTGTGAAGATGGCATGGTGCCCTCAGCCTTTGCATATACTCTCTCAGTATTAATTCCCAATAAATAATCAATCAACCAACCAACCTCCCCTCTCCCGGCCCCAAGTGGCTAGAAAAAAAAAAAAAAAAAAAAAAAAAAAAAAAAAAAAAAAAATCTTGCTGCTCTGTCTTAGCATTCAAAGTGCTTCCAGGTATTTTAGACAGCCCTCGATTCCAAGTCTTAGGCTACACTTAAAAACCTTGGATAACCTTAGAGATCGTGTTGAAACAATAGTCCGTACGCTTTCCCTTCCCTGAGACTGAAAGGATGCAAGCTGAGGTAGTGGCACAGGGTCGATGGACACCACACTGGGAGCATCAACAGAGAGTAAAAAGAACACTTAGAACCCCCACTTCAGCCTGGGAATAAATGATTTCCAGCTGCAATAAGCCGTGCCTCACTGGTCATACAGTGACTTGATCTACTTTTGGGTGCTGTGCTGAGAATGTCCATTGGAAACACATTCCCATATTTTCCGTTGGCGTTCACATATTCAACACAGACATCCTCTGCTCTCACAAGCTGCGTGGCTTAGTGGAGAAGTGCTGCCTTCTGCCTCTGGGACCATGGGTTGAAGCCCAGCCTGGGATCAAATGACAAATGAGCTGAATGTCTAATGGACAACAGTCCACTTCTCAGAACCACTATTCCTTTTTGGCATGGCTGGCAGTGCCTGCTCAGAAGAGGTCTAGACTCTTATTGATCTGTCATTAACTATTTCACCTTTTATTCCTCCTCTCGCCTTCTCTCTGTCCCCGCCCTCCTCCCCTCTCCACTTTGCCACTTTTGAAAGCAATGTTTTCCAGGAAGGTTGTTAAGGTCATAAAATGGGTGAGTGGATTTTTACACGTCTGTGTAACCGATGCCTACGTCCTGAGTAGCCTGAAAGGTTGTTGGAGAACTTTGACACCTGACCTTTGCTAGAGAAACCATCAGAGCATAAATATTCTCCTAAATATGAACTTTTTTGTTTGTTTAAAGGCAGGAGGATCTCTTACCTGAGAAATGGGGTGTGAATGTTTTGTGTTCTCTTTACTCTGTCTTTGTTAAGGTGTGAGAAAGCTATACTGCTACGAGCAATTTAATTAATAATTGGAAGCCATACTGATAATGGATGTGGTAATATTTGTAAAGCAAACCTACTTTAAGTAGCAGGAACTAATGGAATTGTTTTCCTTGATCATATGTAGCACTTTTGTTACTTTTTTCTTAAAGATATTTATATTTGATAAGTCTTTTTTTTATCATTTGAGAATTCCAAATACCAAACAGCAAACTTGCATTGCAGAGTCACCCTGCGATCACCTTGTCATCTTAGTATCTAAATGATGAACTGTGTGTGCATCTAAGAAAATTACATCTGCTAGCATTGTGTGGAAATGATCTCCTGGCATCCTGATAAAATGATATGTTGCTGCCGGTAAGAGGAAACATTTTGATGGAAACAGCACGGGAAGTGTTAGAGACGGGCAAGAAAAACGTTAACAAGGAAAAAAAAAAAAAATTAAAAACCCGTGGAAATTTTTGTACGAGAGATGTATAAAAATCTCCACAGCGTTTCCTCGACATTCCATTTTACCTTCCCAGTTTATGTGGGAATAGCTTAAAAAAGAGGAGAACAGCTCAGTTTGAGGGATGGGCTTCCCTTTTCTCTCCCACTTTGCAGGCAGAGGGAACGAAGGGAAGTTGCTGTTACTCGCCTTGTTCTCATCCCTTCCTCACTCTGAACTCTCAGAGAGCACCGTGAACCCCTAAAATGTGGCTGCTCAGCAGGTTTTTGGCCAGCCCAAACCCCTCCAGGCACAGGCTGACGAGATCAGCTTTACATCTGTTAATCTGGGCAAAACTGCTGACCCGAGTGTGGAGGAGATTTTGTGCTTTCAGAGGGCACCTGGTTGGCACCTCTTTGTCTCTGTACCTTTGAAGATATATAGGTAGGGCTTGGCCTCGACTCTCACTTATGGATTTCATTGGAAAATTTATGTGCTTTCCTTGGATATAGATCACTGAAGCAGAATGAAGCCATCTTTTTTTTTTCTGTTTTATTGCATTTCTCGAGTAGGCAAATTCATAAGTAGCACCGGGGCGGACTCAGGAAAGGCAGGACTGGGATCAGCAACGTTGCACCACTGCAGTTCTTTTCTCACTGCTTTGTATGAATGTTTTGGTACTAAGGGGCGAAAGGACGGGGAGAGCTTTTATTTCTATTTTTTGCACAGCAGAATGATCGAGCAAACTCGAGCCTTAGTGGAATTTTACCTACTTATTCATTCCACAGTCACACACCGAGCTGACAAGCAACATCCACGATTTATAGTAAGGAGATTTTAATAATCGATGACCTCTTTACGTTGGTCTTGCCACCACCATTTGTTCTGGCTGTTTCATTTTAAAAAGAACAGACTCAAAGTGTTGGACAGCTGCAATTTTGAAAGAAATATTGCTTACTATAGTATCTGTAAAAGAAAAAAAAAAGTCATTGTTTGAGGTGTTGCCTTTTTAAAGCAATAGGGGAGAATGAAAATAAGTATTAGGACTTGTGTAGCCTGGTTCTAGGTTCATGTGATGCAGGATCAAAGTAACACCACTGGAACTGTATGTCTGTACCATCAAATGTAGAATTATCTGGTCTTAATTCTGTTTGTCACTGTCAGGAAGCCACTGACATGATGCACCAGTATCCTCTCTGAAGGTTAAACAGGTAAACAAACCCCTGGTGAGCGACTGGAGAGGAGCAGATCCTCCTTGGCTGCAGCTTCCTGGTAAATCCCAGTTTTCTGCTCTCCCACATTTCCCTCTTACCAGAGGAAATAGCAGATAACTGGGGAATCACACACTTGGCTCTGTGGTGTCAGTGTTTGGGTGTTTCTGTCTGCTTTGGCTTTTCTTTATGCACCAAGAGGTACGAGGCAGGAGTGAGAGCTCGGCTGTTCCCGGGGTCTTTGTGGAAGGCTGTTTTCTGGAGTTTGGAAGATTGCAGTGAGCAGTTTGCAGTTAGTGAATTACCTTTTGGTTTGACATTAATTAGCCACGATGGAACAGATGCTGGTGTGATGGTACCAGGAGAAGTGAATGTGATCTGGAGTAAGTGAAAGAATTGGTGGAGAGTGTCTCCTGGAATTTAGCCTTTCTTCTGGGTTTTTTCCATGTTATGGGCCTCTTCTTTGTCTTTCTGTCTCTGGACTTCCTTGGAAATTAAGCCTTGTTTTTGTAGCATTGCAGTTCAGTTGTGGTTTGTTGTAGCCAGTCTGGAGTTACTGCAGTTTGTTCTTGTGTGGGTTCCCTTGAAGTGGGTCTGGTGGCAGACCAGATCTACCTTTTTGTTCTGTGAATAGAGAAGAAATTATTTAAGATGCTCCTCCTCTGTGGTGGGCACAGGTTGCTTTTAACTTCATAGGGTAAGTTCTGGCTGTTACTTTTTCCCTCATAAAGTCCTTATACTTGAGTTGTTGTCTCTTACCGTCTTCTTAAAACAACAATTTCTACCTCCACTTTTTTTATGGATTGTTTTTTTAATTCCCCCACCTTTTTCTCCTGAAGTATGAGATCCCAAATGTTTGCAAAAGCATTATGAATTGATAAAAATCAGCAGACTTGTTTCTGTTGATCTTCTGAATGCTCTATAAACATATGTGTGATTATAATGAAATCCCATTACTCACGTGTTGGCTTTGAGTCAGCAGTGCACTCTCGTAGCAATTAAGGGACCTCATTAAGAGTCTTCAGCAGGTTGTGGAAAGGGATTAGACCTTTCTGTCCAGCATTTGTGGGACCCTTGTGTGGGCAGGAGGTGTGAGGGTTGGAGCACAAATTACGTGGAGGGAGATCGTAAGAGCTGGGTTTGTCCAGGCTGGCTCTGGGGACGTCCCGTATTTTGGTTTTTAACTGTCTTAATAGGTTGGTTTTAATTGGGGGGACCTGTGCAGGGTCAGGAGTTGGACTTCAGTGGTCCTCATGGGTCCCTTCCAACTCAGGATACTCTGTGGTTCCAGGGGAGGCAGAGCCAGGCTCTTCTCAGAAGGGCACGGTGAAGATGTGAGGGACAGTGGGCTAAAGTTGTGTCAAAGAAAATCCCAGATGAATATAAAGAGAAATATTTTCCTACTCAGAGGGGCAGAACAACAATCTGAAAAGGCAGTAGAATTCCCATCCTTGGGGATATTCAAAACTCAACTGGACAGGGTTGGATTAGAGACCTCCAGAGGTCTCTTCTGACCAAAATTATTCTATGATTCTGTAACAGAGCTGCTCAGGTTGGGCTGTTCCCTACTTCTGATTTATACATGTTGACTTGTTAAAAGAAATCCTCTTAATTTGTTGGGGTTTTTTTCTGTTTTGCTGTTCATAAAAGTTAACTTTTCTAGTTTACTAATAGAGAGGAGCTTTATTTGCAGGGTCTGACTCCAGGCTCCAGTCAAGCCATAAGTTAGAACTTTCATTAATTATTTGCTCTGTTTACACAGTTCTTCAGGGATATTTGACTTAACTCTGTTTGTTTCATTGCCTAACATAAGACTGGTAAGTTTTTCATGTTTTTGTAACATTTGTGATTTGTAGATCAGTTTTTGCCTTCATTTGTGAGGGTTCATCTTTGTCTTGCTGCTGAAAAATTCCACATAGCTGAACGTATTGGAGGAGAAATTGTGGTTCATTTAAGCCCACTGGTGACTACTGTGATAAGCTACAAATTCTGGGTCAGTAAATCACAAATTGATCATTATCAGAAGCTGAAAGGGTTTGATGGGGAAAAAGTCACATTATAATTACTTGGATCCTCTTTCCTTAAGTGTTTGCTTTGGCCACTGCTAGAAAAAAGAAACCCATGGTACTTGTAACAGGGTTTCATAAAGAAAAAGGTTTGATTTTTCATATGAATAAAACCACTAAAATTGGTGTAAGAATTTCCAAAACTCAAAATTAATTGCTGCCTTAATGCAGGATTGTGGTTCCCTGGGTGTGAGTTTAACTCCAATCTAAAGCTGGAGTCACACTTTTCCCTGCAAATTACTAAGATTCAGTGTGAGATTTTGCCCATAATCCTGAGCTGTGGATGTTCAGTTGGAAAAGATCACACTCCCCCCCCCCCTTTTTATCCCTGGAATTGAGCTTGTTTTATTTAATAATTTTCTTAGCAGAAGGTTTATGTTCCTCCTCCCAACCCAGCTCCATCATGGTGCAGCCCTCACCTCCCAGTGCTCATCAGCTTCTTTCAAACTCACTGAGTAATTAACCAGCAGATTTTAGGAGTTTTTGTTAAAATAAACTTTGCTCTTATTTCAAGCCTTGCACTCTGAAGTTATTTAACTTGATAATGTTATTTCAATCAAAGTCTTAAGCTTTGATTTGGCAATAATCTTTGGTTTGGGGTAGCTTTTGGCAGGACTCTTTGGTGGCAGGATTGGTCTTAAAACTGTGTTCTGTGTCAGTGACCTTAATATGTGTTGATGGCCCAGATTTGGTGTGTGTTTGTGGCAGCAGTCAGGGCTGTATCCTGATCCCAGCCATTTTAATGGAGTTTTGTGGAGTTGGGAGTTTTCACTGTGATCCCTTGGAAGGGAATGTTGATGGCCTGACCAGAAAGTACCTCGCAGTTCCCAAAAAGAGTTACAGAGACATTTCAAACTAGAGCATTCCCTGTTGGGCTTTTTAGCTGCTGGGATATTTACTCAGGATATTGGAGCAGTTCTTGGCCAATAGGCATTTGGCACAGCCCTAAAACCTTCGTTTTAGCCTCTCCTACTGTTGTCAAATTTATGGGGTTTAAACTGTCTGACTAAAGATGTTGCACATTGATGAAAACCAGAGGCTTTCTGGAGATGGCAGCTACAAATCCAAATTTGAAATACACAGAAATTATCTTCTTTGTGAGAAATGTGTTATAACTAGAAGAGCTGGGTTGGGTGTTTTTAGGACTGTCAATAACATGACAGTGATTTGATGTTGGTTTTTGTCCAACAAATATAAATCAAATCAGACCAATGGAAGTTATGTCAGTGGCATCAGTGAGACAGAGGCCTTGTCACTTAAAAATAGCCTGGATTTGTTTGTTCCTGCCTGTTTTCATGTGGCTTTCATCCAAGAATTGTGGTTTGGGTGCGAAGAGACCTTAAAGACCTTAAAGGCCGACTCATTCCACCGCCCTGCCATGGGCAGGGACACCTTCCACTATCCCAGATTGTTCCAAGTGCTGTCCAACATGGTCTTGGACACTTCCAGGAATGGGTCAGCCACAACTGTCATGGAGATAGAAAAGGATTTGCTATTTGGAGTGCAGGGGGAAAATTCACAAAACACTTTAAACGCCCCTTTTAATGAGGCTGATCCAGAAAATGAACTAATGGGTTGGATGGCTGCAGTGCTGGGCTCTATCCCATTCTTTCAGGAAGGTCTGGAGTGCTCCAGCCAACAGCTTAAGCAGGAATGAACCAAAAGCATTGAACTGGAGTGAGCTGGTGATGGGCCTTTGATGTTTCTGTATGTACAGTGCATCTCCTCCTCAGATGGCTTGGCAGGAGCCTCTCCCTGCCATTTATTCCCTCTCAGTTCCATGGCAGCGGGTGTATCCTGCTGATCAAAACACCCAGCACACTTGTGCTAAATCCTTTCAAACTGCAGCCAGGGTAATTGGGATGGGCAGGATAAATGCATGGGAGTATGGCAGGAGAAGTGATGGCAGCTCCTTTGAATGACTGGGTGTCCCTGACGTGTAATTAGCTGCTTTAGAACGCTGGGGATTGGCATGGTCGCGATTAAAAGGATTTCTGTCTTTTCTGTGACTGAAAACAGGAGATCCTCCGCCCCCTAATTCTCTCTAATACCACTGTTATTAGTGACACTTGGAACACAGACCCTCTGTAAACTTAAATAATGACCTAAATGAATGGTGACTTACAACAGCAGGGGCTGAGCTGAGGCCAGTTTTCTATGCAAAGCTGCTTCTCCCGGTTTTCCGTTCCCCGCTCCATGTACGTGTCGCTTCTCAGTGAGTTTTGGAGACAAAAAGGATGTTTAGTTGTGTGACAGATTACCCAGGGGCTGGTTTAGCTCTCCTTGTTGTTTTGGGGTTGTAGAGGTGAGGAAGGTGAGCCATGAACTCCACTGAACTCATCTCATGTTGTCACCTCTGCACCGTTTGGTCTCCGGTCCCTTGGAGCAGGGAATGGAACTGGCTCTTGTGTCCTCCTCCAAATTCCCCTTCCTGGTGGCTCTTTGGAAGCCTCACCAGAACTTGTTGCCACGGTGTCCTCGAGCTCTCTGCTGCCCCAATTAACATGCTGTAGGGACAGGAGCTAACTCCCCTTTTCCTTAAAAAACCTCAGAATATCCTGCACCTGCAGGTTTGGCTGGACACCATCCCTGCCATTCACCGGCGGTGTGTGGTGGTGACCCAAAATAACACCATCATTTTTCCCTGACAAGTTGCTAGATTCTCAAAAAACATCTGCCAGAGGGTTTTCTGTGCCTTTTAATTCTGTTTCTGTGAATATTTGTTGGCCCTTGAGCACTGCAGAGCCTGAGCTCCATTTTTACCCTCAAGTTGACCAGATTTTTCCATAGTGCTGTTCTCCCACTGCAGTCACTTATCAGACAGGTTTCTGGGGTTTTTTGGTATGTGAAGAGACTCTTAGTCAAACTTACTAAAATGAGCACCATCAAAAAAGAATTTAGGAACTTCCTCAAGCTCTTATTTGAATCTTCCAGTTACTTCTCAGCTTCTTTGCACTGAAATCCTGGTGTGACTCTCACCCAGTGTCACTGTAGTTCAGAGCAGAGCTGTGGGTACTTCAGTTCTTCCAGCACTACACTCACAGTACCAATGGGAACAACTTCTTTTCAAGAATATACATTTTTAGGTGTTCACTTGCTGCTGTCACTGGCCTCAATTCAGCTTCCTGCCCTCCTCTCCCCTCTCCTCGACTAATTAAAGTCTTCCATGTAACGCTGAGATGGCACATGGAGCTTAAATAACCCTCCTCTTTAATTAAGAGGTTGAATTCAGCCTTCTGAGATATATTTGACATCATTTGAGATTTAAAAATACATTTTACTTACACAGTTTATCCATCAGATCGCTCGAGGAGGGCAAAGAGATAATGAAAGTAAATTATTAATTAATATCTCTCACCCAGTATATTCCATTAAGATTATTAAGCATATATTCCATTCCTCAAAGCACATTTGACTTTGGATATATTTTTTTTTAAGTCTGCTGGTGAAGTTTCTGCCTCTCTCTTTGACAGGGCTGTAGTGACAGGGCTGAAAACATCCTTCAGGGGCAAACCAGAGCCAGGAATTCTGAGTATCAACTCACTGACCAGGTTTTCCATTTCATTTCTGCATTATGGCAAGTGAGCAGGTCTGAGCCCAGAGTGACATGGACTCTGCCTGACACATTCAAACTGTTCCTCTCTTTAAAAGGTTTGATGGAATTTTGGAGTGGAACCAGCAGCAGGAGCATCTCACCTTTCAGCGTGTTGGATGGAGGGGGCTGAGTTTGGGTGGAGGTACATTAGGGTCGGAGTGGTGAAGAGGAAATTCCACATATTGTTGGGAAAGACCCAGCACAAAATCTGTAACTGCTCCTTGAGAAGAGGAAACATCTTTATTGATGTGGTAATTGAAGCAGCTGAGGAGTTGTCATGGGAATTTGAGCCATGCTCTTGTTCAGTTTGTTGCAGGGGCAGTTCCCAGAATCCCAGAATGGTTTGGATTGGAAGGGACCTTAAAGATCATCTCATCCTACCCCCTGCCATGGGCAGGGACACCTTCCACTAGCCCAGGTTACTCCAAGCCCTGTCCAACCAGACCTTGGACACTTCCAGGGATGGGGCAGCCACAGCTTCTCTGGGCAACCTGTGCCAGGGCCTCCCCACCCTCACGGCCAAGAATTCCTTCCCCATATCCCATCTCTCCCTGTCCTCTGGCAGTGGGAAACCATTCCCTGTGTGCTGTCCCTCCAGCCCTTGTCCCAAGTCCCTCTCCAGCTCTCCTGGAGCCCCTTTAGGCACTGGAAGGTGCTAGAAGGTCTCCCAGAGAGAGAGTTGCCTTTCAGTTTAACTAAACGTTTCCATCTTGGCACAGCTGCTCATTGGGCAGGAACTGGTTAATTCTACACCACTTCCTTCCTTTAGAGCTTTTTAAGTCACAGTCCTCTTTCTCCAGGTGCTTGGAAAAGATAAATGCTCTTGAGATGAGGGAATGTTTATAAATCCATTGGATATATATGGCCAAGTTTTAAAGAATGATGTAAAAAAGGCAGAAACTTCAATTAGGGGATTTTTATTTCTTCTTTGTTGTTGTATTTGGAAGGGCAGGACGGTTTATTCATCCCCTTGGATGAAGTTTATGGAACAGGGAGTTTGCATGAGGATTGTGGGAGGCCACCTGACATTCAGGGTCTCCTTGTAGGTGACAGACTGGTCCCTTCTGGCCTTAATTGTATAAATCTGTGACTCCAAAGAGGTGGATCTGTCTTTTACCTTTATAACTTGTTCGTTACATTGAGTAATTTGTAGAGATTCGAGTTCTGCAGGGGTTCTGTGCAGCAAGAACTTTCCATCAGAGAACATGTTGTGCCTTATGTCTGTAACCCAAGTTCCAGTTCTGTTGATATTCTCTTTTACCCAAAACCATTCAACATGAACCAAGTTTGATCAGTCACCACTGTTCCTTTCCAGCTGCAGTGCCTCAAGCAACTGGTTTCCACAAATCCTTTCATCAGTTGCCAGAGTGCTTCAGAAATATCTCACAAGTCCTCTTGCTAAACTGATGTCTCCTTTCTTTCCTTCATGGGGCCTGTATTTCCTTGAAGGAATTCCAGTGGAGTGTTCTGAGCTGTCCCTCCTCCAACAGCTCTGATCATTCACTTTCAAGTTGATTCTTGCTCCTGAATTTGTCACATGTTATTTGCCCAGACTTCAATGCTTCTTCCACAGGTAGTTGATTTTTATCTTCCATCCAAGCTCCTTCACATCCTGATCATCCTATTTTTTCCTGGTTTACCAATGGTTTTTCCATACTGAAGTGCTCTGACCTGAACCTGTTGTTTTTACAGTCCCCAAATACAGGATATATACTGTTTCCACCCTAATAAAAAGCAATCCAGTGTAGGGCTGAAGCTTAGGTTTGATCCAGCCTTATGAAATCTTCCCGACTTTCTGCTCCAGGGTTTTCCCAGCAGCTCTCCTCCCTTCCCTCACTGCAGTTTGGATGCCTAGATAAGAAAATCAGGGAAATAGTGACTTCTAAGTATAATAATTTAAATTATTTCTTGGACTTCCATGCCCTCTCTCCCCTTTCACTGTCTTGGTGACTTGTACCATCTTCTTTCTCACAGAATCCCAGAATGGTTTGGGTTGGAAGGGACCTTAAAAACCATCTTATTCCACCCCCTGGTGTGGGCAGGGACACCTTCCACTATCCCAGCTTGCTCCAAGCACCATCCAGCCTGGTCTTCTCCTTCTGTTTTCCCTGTACAGGCACTTTATTACCTTCAAACAGTGTATTTCTGGTTAAACCTCTTTGAATTCCTTTAATACTTCCTCAGTCCAAGTTTAGAGACATTCACCTTTCCTTTGGCCTTTCAGGTGGTGCTGTATCCATTACTTAATTGAAGTCTAAATTTATATTGTCCACAGCAGAGAGTAAATATGACCAGTTTTGCCTACTTTCACCATTAAAAAAAAATTAGCTCATAAATTCAGCCAATTTACAACAGGTTCTTCACTTGCAGCCTCCTGTGTGAGAGAAGGTGGTTGGACCATGGAAGAGGGACAAGGTGGGAGCATTTTTTTCATGGAATCATAGAATGGTTTTGGTTGGAAGGGACCTTAAAGCTCGTCTCATTCCCACCCCTGCCATAGGCAGGGACAACTTCCATAGACCAGGTTGCTCCAAACCTTTCTTGTTCCATTTTATTTTGTCTTGCTTGCTCTTAGTATTGGAACCTGTTTTAAATTGGAGTGGATTTTCCTGGTTCAGGTGCTGTTGCCTGCTTTAAATTAGGAGAGTTTGGGACAGGATGCCTGGATTTGCACAGCTTTCCCAGGAGTGTGGTGGTTCCCTTTGTCACTTCGTTCACCCAGGGTTTGGGATCACTTTTTGCAGCCAGAGTAGCTTATTATTATTGTTGTTATTAAGTTATTTTAGATTTGAAGATGATTGGAAAAACTTGAAGTTACTTTTCCAAATGAAAAAGTAGAAAAAGCAGAGTTTGGATTTTGAGCTTCCCATCTTTCAGTGGATAACACTGAATTTTCTATTTCTTTTTTTTTGGCTTCTGCCTAAATTTGAGTGTCATCTTGAGAAACTTGTGCTGAACTGAAGGTGGTGACTTGGTTTTTAGTTGCTGTGGGACCAGAGCCCTGTTTGGTCTTTCCTGAGGGACAGATTTTCCATCCCATCACCCGTTGCAATACAACCCCAAAAGCAAAAACCCCTTTTTGCCTTGATTTTGGCTCCGGGAATGTCTCAGCAAAGCTGACCCTCCTTAATTTTGCTGCCAGAGTTGTCCTGGGTGGTTCCAGGCAGCACTTCTCCCACCAGTGCTGCTGGCTTAGACTGGGAAAGCCCCATATCCCTCTGGAAGTCAGATGTCAGATCCAGTAGGATGAAGCGATGCCATCGTGCCACAGAACCCCCGGGGGAAAGGCTCTTACCTTAAAGATAATCCAGGAATAACAGGTTTAAACTCCCTGTAGTTCCATAGCAGTTCTGTCAAAGGGTGACAAGTACAAGTCAGTTGTGGCCATGGGGAGCACTATTTTCCTGACAAATTGCCTTGGCTGTGTCTTCCTCTTGGTCTTTATGATCTTCCCAGGGCTGCCGAAAGCCCGGGAAGTGTGAAATATGTGCAGTACTTTTTGAATTTTAGGGTTTTTTAGTTAGTGTCAATTTTAAAAGTGCCTAAGTGAGGAACAGGACTCCAGAGTGAGCTGGAGGAATAGGATTAGACCTCGTTTCCCTCTTAAGAAAAGAGCCCTCCCTGCATCCCTCCACACATCCCTCCAGATGAGTCCAGAGCCCGGCAGAATCTGGCTGGAAAAAACTCTGCTCCTTCCTCCTCTTGGTTTTCAGTCTGGTGGGGGATGGGGAGTGGATCTCATTTCTCAGCCAAACCTTTGCAATCTCTGATTTGGGGTGGATTGGCAAAGAGGGGGGAAGCCTGGATAGGATTCAGTAGGAAACTGCCTCTTGGATTGCAGATCCAAAGGGCCTTGTGTGTTAAACATCCACTTCTGGATAACCAGAATCTGGATGGAAAAACCTAAAATGCATCTTTAATCTCTCATTTTGGAATCATGGAATGGTTTGGGGTTGGAAGGGACCTTAAAGATCATCCAGTCCCACCTCATGCCATGGGCAGGAACATCTTCCACTATCCCAGGTTGCTCCAAGCCCTGTCCAACCTGGCCTTGGACACTTCCAGGGATGGGGCAGCCAAAACCTCTCTGGAATCCCAGAGGCAGTTTCTTCCTATATTTTGAATTATTTCTAGGTTTATCATAGTGGCACCTGCTAAACATTTTATCAAAATAATCCTGACTGTTGGCAGGTGGTTATAATTTTGTAAAGGTGAGAATTTTATGTGGGTTTTAAAGAAAAAAAAAGATATCGATGGTAGTTTAAAAATTTATGTTAAAGGAGAATTTCTTCTGACCAGAGTGAAAGGAGATAACAGAACACTATGAAGGTGTTTTAGTACCACTTAAGGGTTCAGCAAATGAAAGCAATCCATATGTAGATGTTTTATTTTTCATTAGGAACAAAATGTTTTCACTCTGACAACTGAACATGCGAGGTGGGAAAGCCTGGGGAATGTCTGTTGGCAAGGAAAGCTGTGAGGACTCTTCTGCAGAGAGCAGAAAATCAGCCTGTAGGGTGTGGATGGGAGTTGATACAAGCAATGATCCTGTGGGGATCCTAATGGGAATCAAGAGTTTGTGGAGCCTGTGGCACACACGGACCCTTCCCCTGCTCTGAGATGCCTTTTTGAACTGATACTCTTCTCTGAACCAAGTGATTGTCACAGACAGTGGGTGACAACAGATCAGTGTAGGGAGTGTCTCAAACCTAGAAGTGAAAGGGTGGTGGAACAGCATCAGAGCCACACAAAAATGGACCAAACCCCCAGCAGAGCACGGGGGGAGGGTCGTGTTCCTCCTGTCCATGTTTGTGTGTCTTGGTTTTGTCCCACTGATCTTGGCTTGGGGGTCGTGCCAGCCGTGTCTCCGGGCCGTGGAGGGGCGTGTGGGATGGCTCCAGTCGCCTCCTGTCACTCCATGTGTCACCAGATCAGTGATCCAAGAGTGTCCCATCCCTGCTGGTCGCTCCAGCGGGTCCTTTCCTGTCCATCCCTTCCTCTGTTGGCATCTCCCACCTTCCTGTTTGTTTGCCCCGACCAAACTGGCCCCCGTGTCTCATCTGCTGTAGGTGTCCCACCTACCTCAAGAGGCAAAACATGGGATCCTGGAGTGGTGTGTTCCCACTCTGGGCTGTTTTCCATGAGCACTCGCACACACACACACACACACACACACACTGGAATGTATATTCTCCTCCCCCTCGCCCCCAAATAACCTCTTGACCCGATCCTT